GCATGCAAACAGGCGTCGGGTGCGCATACGTGTGAAAACGACGATTTCGCCCATTACGCCGCACATGTTACATATCGTCGCGAACGTCGAATGAGCTCTCGAATGAGAGCAATAATTGTAGGGCTATCAATCACTGATAACACTAAACTGATGAGCGGTAAAAGCTTTTAAAGCGTCACCTATGGTCAATTTTGGGCATGATAATTTTTTGCGATTTTGCGGGTGCGCGCAATTTTAAAGCATGACATGTTTGGTGTCTATTTACCCGACGTGACCCCGCTTTTTATATTTTACCAAAAATATGGGTAATAAATGGGTGTGGTTACTGGGGGTGTGGCCACTAAAGGGTGTGGCCACTGAGGGGTGTGGTCACTGAGGGGCGCTGTAAAGCTTTCTCGCACAGGGCGCCTAAAGGCCTAAGGCCGGCCCTGAGTCAATGGCACTGTCTGCAGCCATGCCCCCCGCCCGCAGTGTGATTTCCGGCACCCGGAATGCAGGCACATTAGTGCTTCATTCCGGTCCAGTGCATTCTGCAAAAATACTGCAAGCACTATTTTTGCAGAACGCACTGGACGGGAACGCAATGTGCCTGCATTCCGGGTGCGGGTGATCACACTGCAGACGGGGGCGTGGCTGCAGTGCCATTGACTTCAATGCACCACTATGCCCCCTTCTGCCCCTGAATGCAGGGAGCCAGCCGACTTGCATTCGAGTGCCTTTCAGAAACCGAATGCACTGGAACGCGGAGTTTGTGGTGTGAACCGGCCCTAAAAGGGAGCCAGTAAACTGTGGCAAGGGACAGGCAGATTGTTTCTCTATCCCAAAACTGCCGGCTGAACTGAATGCCCTCTCTGACAGCACACTGGCCACAGGACAAGCCAACAGTTTATATGCGTACTTGACTAGCTCCAGCCAGTAGTCCCGTCTGGACACCTATGCATGACATAGGGATCAATTTTCATGTGAAGGTCAGCACACTATCCAACATAATTCTCTAAAATACAGAATAACATGATTTCCAGGATCTGTTTCCTTTACACTAAAGAACAACTTTAAAGCATCACTTTGGCTGCCACTACTGTTCCTCCTTTTAGAAACCTGAGGATTAAAAGCATATTGCCCATAAAAAAGGATGCTGCCACTTTCTGGAAAGGCAGTTAAGAAGTTATTTCACAGCTGGCCTTTAAAGGGGGCATTGCATGGCAGGTATGGCATATCTGCCATGGTATGGCAGATAAAGACCTGCCATTTTCTCTTTGTATCCGAGAGTCAAAAGGAGTTGCCTGCTAGTAATGGTCCTTCAGCTTTGTGACCTGAATTCCCAGGCTATGAATGAGCTAATGCAACACAGATGCACTTTAAACCCTTGGTGTCTCTGAGGACAGTGGTGCAGGGCTCAAAATTTCATGTCCTGAGCTACTAGCCAGGCCTAAAAGTTACTCGCCACCAGTTGCCCCGACCTAACCCCTACCCTGCCCCGGACTTAACTCCGCCAGGTCAGTAATGTAACGCACAGCGCAGAGGTCAGCGTGACGCACAGCGCAGATGTCAGCGTGACGCACAGCGCAGAGGTCAGAGTGACGCACAGCGCAGATGTCAGCGTGACGCAAAGCGCAGAGGTCAGAGTGACGCACAGCGCAGAGGTCAGAGTGACGCACAGCGCAGAGTGACGCATAGCGCAGAGGTCAGAGTGACGCACAGCGCAGGGTCAGTAGGACGCACTGTGCAGGGTCAGTGTGACGCACAGTGCAGAGGTCAGAGTGACGCACACCGCGCAGAGGTCAGAGTGACGCACACCGCACAGAGGTCAGAGTGACGCACACCGCGCAGAGGTCAGAGTGACGCACACCGCGCAGAGGTCAGAGTGACGCACACTGCGCAGACATCAGATGACGCACGCCACGCAGAGGTCAGTGACGCACAGCATGGAGGTCAGTGTGACGCACAGTGTAAGGAAGAAAGAAAAGGGACTTACAGTGCACTTAGCTGGTATTCAGGTGCCTCTTCTCTCTCCTGGTGGTGGTGGTGGGGGGGTTGGGGGGGAGGTCGGTGCAGAGATCCTCCATGTACCTTCTTTTCCCTGCTAACTTTCTGGATGGCCGGTCTCACCGTCTCTGCAGTCTTCCTCCCAGCCTGGCAGCTGAGGTGGGCGGAGGAAGCTGCAGAAGACAGCGGATGTCATCGAGGAGCGCCGCCGGTGGGACCAGAGATGGGACACTACCGCCACGGCGATCGTTTGCTTGTATCCTCTCTTCTCCTTGTCGGCCGCTCTGTAGCTGTAGCGGCAGATGAGAAGAGAGAACAGAAGTAAGCAATCGCCGCGGCGGTAGTGTCCCATCGCTGGTCCCGCCGGCGGCGCTCCTCGATGAGGTTCCACTCGCCCCCACGCAATTTTCACTCGCCAATTGCGAGGGGGCGAGTGGAAATTTTGAGGCCTGGTGGTGTACTCAGCAATCTCACCCAGCTCTGACTTCTGTGTTTTAGGAGGGGTGAAATGTACCTCTGGAAGCCTGCCCCATGTCCTCCCCATCGCCCACCCCAATCCTCCTCCTCCTTGTACTCCCTAGATTCCTAGAGCTTATCCTCGTCCCATACTCACACAAATACTTGTTGAAGACCCACTGCTGCAGGTGCAGCTGCTGCAGCATGGCCAAAGTTGAGTTCTAGCACATGGGTGTATCGTATATTAGTGAGTGTTTGCATACCCAAAAAGCTGCTGCAACACAAGCTGCATACCAACTGACTAAGTATGATAACCTGAAGTGGCTTCACACTCTTTGGACCTGTCGCAGGACATAATGGCAGTCATGGTACTAAACTATGAATTGCTGCACCACCAGGTTGAGGACACGTGCCAGGTAAGGCACATGTGTGACCTTTCATTGTTGTAGGCAGCAAAAGGTGAACCATATTCTGAAGAAACTTTGCTCTAGTAAGAAGATCCTGATCCACACTTTGTGTTGGAGTTGCTGTGTACTTTTATAAGTCTGTTTGCCGGTCTACACATATGTGTTTCTTCGAACATTTAACAACATGAGCCAATAATATCTCACCTATATGGATACAATTGTGGATATACTGATACTCTTAGAGGCACCCTTGTTTTCTTTTGTATATTCACATATAGTTACATAGTTACATAGTATTTGAGGTTGAATAAAGACATTAGTCCATCAAGTCCAACCTATTAGGATCTCATTCTAGGAGTACCTGTACCCCTGTATATTACGGTCCCTTAAGAAATCGTCCAAAAGTTTCTTGAACAATTCCACATTATTTGCTGAAATCACTGTCTGTGGCAGTGAGTTCCAGACCCTAACTGATCTTACTGTGAAGAACCCCCTTCGCCCCTTGTGCTGGAATTTTTTTTCCACCAATTTTAGGTGGTGGCCTCTAGTTTTTGTAATGGAGTTAATTTTAAACAGTTTATCGCTAATGTTGTACATGGAGATCATATCCCCCCTCAATCTCCTCACCTCCAATGTGAACATGTTTAAATTTAGTAGCCTTGTCTCGTAGCTCTGGTCCTCCATACCCCTAATTAGTTTGGTTGCCCTCCGCTGGACTTTTTCCAACTCAAGGACATCTTTTCTTAGTACTGGTGACCAGAACTGGACCGCGTACTCCAGATGAGGTCGAACCAATGATCTATAAAGTGGCAAAATTATAGACTTGTCCCTGCAATACATCCCCTTTTTAATACAGGACAAGACCCTGCTAGCTTTGTTTACAGCAGCCTGGCACTGCAAACTACCTTTCAGTTTGTGGTCTACAATGACCCCCAAATCCTTCTCCATTTCTGACTTCCCTAGCGGCATACCCATAATTGTATAACCCATTTGTTTATTTTTAATTCCAAAGTGCATTACTTTGCATTTATCGACATTAAACCTCATCTGCCACATTAATGCCCACTCCCCTATTTTATCCAGGTCCTCCTGTAATGTTATAATGTCTAAGTCCGTGTCTATTACCCTCCCAATTTTGGTGTCATCCGCAAACACGGAAATATCGCTGTTAACACCCTCCCCGATACAAATTGTTGAGAAACAAATTTAAAATGGGCAGCCATTTAGCCACTCAGACCATGTAGTACAGTTTACCTGGTTGAGTGCTTTAATGTACTTGAAAGATGAGCATCATGGAGGAAATAAGATGTAAAATTGGTTGTAAAATATTCCCCAGGGCACTATTTTTTGCATAAAAGCCATATTCATGTCATTGGTTATATGTGATCCAGTGCAGATGGTGCTGATGTAGAGGCCAGAAGGAGACTGACAAAAGCCACTAATATATGTTCTGTGACCTTGTCAATTTCCATTTAAATTTAGGTAGCTTGACTCCATGTCAACTTGTACCACCCTGTCAATACTCATGAGAAATGTTAGATGTGTATCAAATATAGTCTGCTTGTCAGGATTCAAATTACTGCGTACTCTGCTGCACAAGGTATAAATTCGAACATCAGCATTTGATTGACAGTGTTCAGTCAAGTAAGCCACAATGTTCTACTAAGCATAAAATGCACGGTATCAGTATTTTCAGCTAAAGAACTGTTATTCACATATATTAGCCAACACATTGTACTGTTGTCTTGATATTCAATTTTTTGCATGATATTTTTCCATGTTTTTTTCATGTACAAAATCTGCAATCTAATGGTAAGTACATGCAAAATAGTCACAACACACACATTACAATCTATTTAGAGTTTACATAAACTCAATCAATAAAATATCATATGAGCTTTAACATGTTCATGTAATAATTTTAAATCTGTAGCTTTTATTAAAATAATGCTGGGTAATCTTGCCATGAAGGTCCTTGTTCTAGACAGAGCATTATAATGTATTGTTTGACTGCTTGGTGTACGAGGGACTACCTCAGGCGGTTAGGCCATCCATTATGATTTCTGAAAACAAGTGGCCATTAAAGTGACACTAAACTCAGGAGTTTCATTCAAGTACCCTAAATATTAATGAAAATATATATTTTTTTGTGTATATCACTCGCCTGTAGATCTGAGTCGGTGCTGACCTTCCTTCTGGAGTGTGGCGACATTTGTTCCCTGTGTGTGTTGTAAACCACTCCAAGCTTAGGGGGACCCCAATGCCAAAAGATAAATGAGTGGGGTCCAAGCAGCAGCCTGGCAAAGCAGTAATGGGGGGAACGAACGTGCACCCCCTCTCCTGCACCATGCCAGGCCGCATGCCCTCAAGATGGGGAGCCCCTGGAAAAGCACGTTGTCCCCATGACGATGAGGACAAGGACCTCTTCCCAACAACTTTGACTGGGTGGTTGTTGGGGTCTGTGGGAATGGGTGGCTTATCTGATTCTGGGTGCCCCCTTTCATAACAGGTCTGACCCGTATGTCAACAAAAGGGTGGAGCGAGTCTTGACATCACGGACTTGTTCTGCCCATTTGTTGACATTCAGGAGCAGAGCTGTCAATGATAGTAGAATGCTATTCAGAAGCAGAGCTATCAGAATGAGTTATTATGATAGCTCTGTTTACGAATCCACATAGCATTCGGGAACAGATCTACTATCATTGACAGCTCTGCTCCCAATTGTAAGCAAATGGGCGGAACAATTCATGTGATGTCACAACTAGCTCCGCCCCTTTGTTGAATTTGTCAAAAAAAGTCTCGCCAAACCCTAGGTTAATGTGACCCAGGCAGATTCATCCATACTACTCAGTGAGTATCAAACAACAATAAAAGTGTGTGTAAATAAATGTAATCAGGGTATTTCCCCCTTATTTACTGTCCTGATGATGACAGTCTCCCGGATGGGAATTGAGGGGAAATTTATAAACAGTAATAAGATTCTCCATGTGATGGAGGTTCTTGCTTTCCGCCACTTTATCCAAAAAGCCACACAAAATGTTTGCTCAGAGTTTTATTTTAACACCTGATACTACTTGCTCAATAGCTATACATCGGGCCACGGCACATTGCCCTCATCGGCTGACCTTGGGGAGTCCCGCGATTATGATGGCCCTCTGCCCTCGACCCTATTCCCGGACACGCCGCGGACGGAGTCCCCGCCCGGCCTCTCAACGGTCCCACACATGCCGGGCCTAGACGTCCAGGATGGGGGCGGCCTAAGCAGCTTGCTGCTGCATCTACCCACCAAGAGTGATCTAGACAACATGGCAGCTTCCATTGTAGCAGCCCTGACAAAGGAAATCCATGACCTCACTCACCGTATCACGGAGGTAGATAGCCCTGTCACATCAGTGGAGACTGCCACAACTTCTTTGTCAGCCAGAATGGATGCCCTAGAAGCGGACGCGCGACTGACGAACACCCGACTGCTATCTATGCACCTGCGCCTGGATGATTCCGAAAATCGGAACCGCAGGAATAACCTGCGCCTGCGGGGCATACCAGAGGCTACGACGGGCATCCACCTCAGAGACACTGTGGCTGCGATCCTCAATGCCCTCCTGGGTAAACCTCATGATGCGGCCCTGGAGCTTGATCGGGTCCATAGGGTCACCAGTGCACGCCCTCCCTCAGTGCACGCCCTCCCTAGAGATGTCCTATGTAGGGTTCATTTTTTTGCAGTCAAGGAAGAAATCATCAGACAGACATGGCGACATGGGCCCTCTGACTTTGACGGTGCCACCATCAGAATCATGCCAGACCTCTCCCGCCATACTCTACGCATGTGACGCGCGGTCCGGCCCCTGCTGGATCTCATCCGCTCTGCATCGGCCACTTACCATTGGGGACACCCATTCCACCTAAGAGTGCGATGAGACGACTCTTCCTTCCAGCTACACTCACCTGATCAACTTCCGGCTCTGTTCCTCTTCCTAGCGGTGGACCCTGTGGACGTTCCTAACTGGCTGGAATTCCCGGACGAATCATCAGAGACGGCTCCACTCCCTCCAAGGACCCTCCGTAGAGCCAGAAGCCAACACCGACCAACGCCAAGGGAGCCGCCGGCACTGCCTCTGGTGGGCCGGGAACCCTGAACTGCCCGCTGTATCCTTCGCTGCTATCACGGCCCCATACCTCCCCCCCGCAGCTACTTACCAAAAGGGACCATGTCACCTCACTATTGTATTTCCGCGCCGTGTGTCCCCCCATTTGCTTCTTCCTCTTTGGTGCACTCTGCTCTCTTTGCCCCCTGCTGGGGGCGGGGTTGGAGTGCCGCGGAGATGGGCGAAGGGCATTGCCGGGCTGAGCAATGACTCATCCTGTGCAATCGATTGCTCCTTGGGTTTTAAGATTATACTGTTATGTTATCGATTTGTTCACTTTTACTTGTCCTGCACAAGTGGTTGCACCTCCCCGAAGTTCTCCTCACTTGCTTAGTCCATTCCACCTTTCCCCAATAGGTGGTACCCTCCCAACCCTGGATCGGAGGGTACAATTCCGCTATTGCTTAGGCTCCAAGCCTACTGTAGAACCCCCCACCTTGGTCTAGGTGCCCTCACCTGACCTCGTTCTCCTTGCTTCACGCTACCTATCTGCCTATTTGCCCCGCCTCTTTTCCTGTCTACGAACCTACTGTAGATTCCCCCTCTCCCCCCTTCCCTCCCTCTCCCCCCCCCCTCTGCTTCTCCTCTCCTCCCCTCTTCCTGACCCCCAGTTTTCTCTTCCCCTCAGGCCACCTCCACCCTAGCAGATATGGGCCCGCTACGTCTCACCACTTTTAATGTCAAAGGGCTTGGCATCCCCGAGAAGAGGTCCAGACTCCTGGTGGATCTGAAGAAAGCGGGTACGCACGTGGCTTTTCTTCAGGAGACACACTTTAAATCGGACACATCTCCCACACTCAGAAATAGAGATTTCCCGACCGCTTACCACTGTCCGTCCCCCATTGCCAGGTCCAGGGGGGTGAGTATTCTCTTATCCAGGTCAGTGGCATGGACGTTTAGAGACCTCAAATGTGACCCGGAGGGTAAGTTTTTGTTCGTAAAGGGTCTTGTGGGCGACACCCTGGTCACCCTGGTTAATTTGTACCTCCCTAACTCAGACCAAGTCTCATTCCTACAACGCACGCTGCCGCTCATGCTTGAGTTTGAGGAAGGTTTGTTGATCGTTGGGGGAGACTTTAACTTTGCAATTGACCCCCTCTTGGATGTGTCGAGAACAGCATCCCACCTTCCCTATTCTTACCTCCGAAAACTCAAGTCTGAGCTGCACCTCCTCCAACTAACAGATGTCTGGCGTATCATGCACCCCCAAGTCAAAGACTTCACGTTTTACTCCTCGGCCCACAACACATATTCCCACCTGGATTACTTCTTCCTTCGACATAGGGACCTCCCCCATGTCCTAAATACATCGATTGGTGATATCTTACTCTCAGACCATGCCCCGGTTCACATGGCCTTGGAACTCCTCCCTTTTGTCCCCAGATGCCCCTCTTGGCGTCTGAACGAATCGCTGTTGCAGGATCCGGAGATCCGATCCGAGCTCGAATCCACCATCCCCTCCTACTTTTCAGAGAACTGCTCTCCGTCTTCAGCACCCTCGGTGGTGTGGGAAGCACACAAATGCGTTGTCAGGGGAGTCTTGATCAGACATGGAGCCCGAAACAAGCGGGAAAGGACTGTTAGGGTAGCCCAGCTGTTCGCCAGACTACACACCTTAGAAGCCGCACATAAAAAATCCTTAGCGATAATTCACCTTCGGGAGTTGGCCTCGCTCAGAACGGAACTCAATGGCCTCCTTATCTCTACTGTACGTCAGGGCCTCTTGAAGGGCCGTCGTACTCTGTACGAGCTCTCCAACAAGCCGGGCAGGACCTTGGCGTCGGCCCTGCGGGGCCCTCGCCAAGCTACCTTTATACCCCACATTACATCCAGCGCGGGAACTAGATTGACATCGTCCGTTGACATGGCTAGGGAATTTCAAAGCTTCTACCGCTCCTTATACAATTTGAGCTCGGGGTCGGGATCATCCCCTACTTCACATGATAGTACTACTTTGATACGCTACATCAGTGAGTCTAGCATGCCCACCCTCCCACCATCAGAGACACCCTAGACACCCTAGAAGGGGTCTTCTTCATACATAGGGAGGTGCAGAACAGATCACTCAAGAGGAATACGATCTAGCACTCAAGCAAGCCAAACCGGGTAAGGCCCCTGGCCCTGATGGTTATACACTACCCTACTACAAAACTTTCTCCAGTCAAATGCTCACTGCCTTTCTATGGTCCTACTCCCCCCCCCAGGATCTGCTATTATACAGTTACCCTTCCCAAAAATAGGGGAGGCATTGGCCTCCCGGACCTGGCCAAATACCACAAGGCAACCCACCTTGCACGTGTTTGGGATTGGTGCTGTCACCGGAAAACCAAGCAGTGGGTGGGTATGGAGGAGGAAGATACTAACCCGGCCCTGGCCGGACTCCCCTGGCTCTCTTCACCTCTGCCGCCCTCCACCCGCTCACATCCCACTATCGCACCCACACTCCAGATCACTTTTTCGTTCCCCTCGCCTTTGACTCCGGTAATTGCCGACCCAGACTTCCCACCTGGTGTTGACAACCCTCGTTTTCGTCGTCTCCGCGAGGCCAATAAGTTTAGACTATGCGACCTCCATCTTGCCGGCCGGTGGCTATCGGTCACAGAACTTAGCAATCTGACAGATCCCCCCCTTGACCACTGGGGTGCCACCCAGCTGAGGCATTTCCTGCTCTCTATACCCCACCACCAATGGATAACCAGGCCTTTCACCCCCTTTGAACAGGTCTGTAAAGATGAGCTGCCCACCCGTCATGCAATTTCCCTCCTGTATTCCCTGCTGATATCCCCCCCCGAATCATATCCGGAATTCGTAGCCAAATGGGAGAGGGATCTGAACACTACCTTCACACCAGCCCAAAAAGACCGCATACTGCATCTAGCCCACCATACCTCTATTGCCTCCAAGACACAAGAGTTGGGGTACAAAATAGTCTCCATAGCTATACATTTCACCATTAGCGTGGAACAAATTTTCATTGAACTGAAATAAGCATGTATGAGATGAAAAAGGTGCGTTGAGGGTATATTCAGTGATTATTTTTAATTTAAAATGCTCAGAGGAACAAAACAAGTTAGGCCTTTATGTTCCGTTACTAACGCAGTTTGCTGTTGTTAAATATGCCCTGTGCTTTGCAGGATTTATTTTGTATTTTTCAGAATGTGTTTACGTACATATAATAGATAGATGTTGTAGATAAAGTGAACCCAAGCGCATCTTCCCTGCAGTATTAATGTGCTAGGTTGTAAAATCAGTCTCCCTCCCATAGCCTTGAAATCTATAGCACGCCAGCCTTGTTAAATATATAGTGCTATTCTTTCTGCTCTACCAAGATTTAAAGCTTGAGAATTAAAAAAATTAAAAAAATGTTCCTCCTGAGCTACCATAGCACAAGCTGAGACCATCTGATCCCATCCCCCTTCATCCTTCTGCATTTATTGACACATAATGAATTTAGCAGAAGGCAGCCACAGCTGGTTTCACTAGCTCATACATGCTAGAGAAAATTATTTTACACTTGTTATCCATAGCAGCATCCTTGCAGTGTGCCTGTGTTTTCTGGCAATGCTGAGTGCATGTTAAAACCGGGGTCTTCTTCATACATAGGGAGGTGCAGAACAGCCACTTTGCACATAAAGAAAAGGGAATTGAACAATCATTTCTGTTCTTCTGTTGCACAAGAGATTTTTCATGTCTGAAGATGATGGTGTGTTCAAAGTGCCTTATGTGGTTGATCTTCAGTTTATTCTACCTGAAAAGAGCCCATGGTAAGTACATGTACGCTTGTGCAAATATCCATATGCTGTGTTATCATTATGGCTAAACCATATGATAGATTTCATATTGACTATTACATCTGTACAGGTTGTTTCTCAGAGCACAGAGGTACAATATTCCAGAATAAATATATATGAAATTAAACCTCATTTTAAGATTGTAAAGGTGAGTTGTTGACAAGGGATAGTGGGGTGGACAGGTTTATTGTATTGACTACTTTCACTGACTTCTCTGGATTTATGTATATATGTAGATTGGTGTGCAAATGTAAATATTTATCAGGTTTTCTAAATGACTAGATGTTAATGTTATTTACATTTTGATAACGCACATGTGGCTAGATCAATTGTTTCAAATAACGACAGTTATTTTTGGCTAGAAGAGATGAAAATAACCGTCACATGGCTGAAAATAATGATTGTGCTGACAATTAATAGACTTGTTGATAGTTGTTGTTAGTGAATTGACATTAGTGTTTATGT